CAACTTGTACATCTTGCCGAAATCGGATCCTCCGCCATCAGTCAATCTGGACGAGGACATGACATTCATTACTGCCGCCGACGCGAGCCCTGCGCCATAGGGCGTTTCCCCTGCTTCCATCCCCTTGGAAGCATCCTCATCGCCGCTACTCAGACGCAACAGGCCGAGTGGTCCGATGCTCCGCGATGTGGCAGATTCTGGCTGATGATGACATACTGACGACAGGGTGGTGCTCAGCGAGTCAGCGAGGCCCCAGTCGCCTCCTGCAAATGACAACGGTGTCCTAGTGCCCGCTGACGGGAAGAACGTTGAGAAATAGTCGTTCAAAAGCCAGAGGTACGCACACGTACTGTCATCGCCTTCCTCATACCTGAGGCAGAAACCGCCGATGGGGTTCGCCTTTGTCACGTGCCACAGGAAGAATAGAAAATATGCCTCAAATGCGTTCACGGTCATCGTCGTCACATCTCCGCCGACCACTCCACTATCAAATGGCGAAAACCTTTCGGACCTTAGCCGGAACCTGAAACCGTCTCCGTATGATTCGACGATCAGTGGAAGCTCGGAACAAAACAGCAATTGGTCGATGCACTGGAAAACGGGCCCACGCACTCCCAACAAGGAACACACTGCGTTGAACTCCCCGCTATCATCCCGTGATCTCACGTCGAACAGGTTCATCGGACTTTTTGGGCCGAACAGCTGCTCGACCACTGTACAGAACCTGACCATCATAATGTCAAAGCTACCTCCATTCTTAAGCATATTCTGCCAGTACAAACAGAACTGCGTCAATTCAGCGGCGTCACTCGCTAACGGAGTATAATCGTCGAACTGCGGTTCTCCGTTGTCGCTAAACATCGCTCCAAAGCCCGCCACCAACTCCCAAAACCAAAAGGTAACGCAAACTTAAACGAAACCTGCAAATAAAACGATAAGTTTCATCAGTTTTCCGCATAACTGACAACATACATACCGAAATACTACAAAAACCACTTTCAAACACAGGAATACTCACAGCGCTGAAAGCACATATTCATTTAAAACGCGGTTGATCAAAAATCACTTACCATATCTGCAACACAACCTGCTGATCTTTCTTATGTATTTTACCGTATAATTGTTTAATTTTACTTAAACAAACTATAATTCGACAGACAACGAAGCGAATTTGAATTTGTGATCCGAATTAAGAAAGCAGTACTTAGGATAAAGTTATTAAAAATTTTGTATTGCTTCACAAAGTCCATTTAACATTGTTTGCCGCCCGGAAATTCGTCTCCAGTACCTCAGCGAATCGCTCCCAGGAATCACCTTTTGCACTCGACGACGATTTTGCTTCAACCTTGCGCGCTTCTACATACCGTATGCAAGTTGAACGCTCTTAGCTTCCAAGCCATTTCTTGAATGCAGCTTTCTTCTCTTTAACTGCCAGTTGTACCTCTCGTGTCCACCAGGAAGTGCCTTTCTAACGTCGAAGCGGCTGAACAACCCGTTTAAATTCGCGACATTCGGCGGCAGCCTTGAGTATGCTGCTCTTAAAGAGTTGCTACTCGTTTTCTCGGTTTCCACATCGGTGGTCATCACCGGGATCTGTTCAAACGGTTGTGCGATGTTGTTTGCAAATTTCACTCTCGTATCCGCCGAAGAAAATGTTTCCCATTTAATTCTTTGGTTGCTTCTGCCGCCAGATATTCGCATGGTGCTATATTTCTGATGGCAATCGTATCCACAACAAAGTGATGATCGACTGACAGCTCTATGCCTCTCTTAATGCGAACATTCATTACAAAGTCAGCCTGGGCCATCATTAAGTCCATCATCGACTCTGCGCACAGCTTCACCTTACCACGCATTCTGATTCATGCTTCGATGCTCGAAGGGGTTTAGTAGAAACGGTGCGCCATTTCCGAAAAAGCGAAGCAGGGTTCCCTTACTGTTGAGTTCAAGAGAGTCGTCTATTGTGACTGCGGCATTCCACATTTCAGTGTCTTCTTTGATGCATTGAAATCGACCATAAAATTGATGGATTGCACAAAGAATGCTTCGTACAGAGTACTTTTCATTTTCTCTGGGAAGGACTCATATTCTACCTTCGCATTCAGCGCATAGATTTTTGACAGAGTCAAGTTACTATGCTGTTGTAATCTCACTTGGATGATTGCCACTCTTCCGCTGACAGGCTTCCATTTAATGATTCTGTAAGTCAGATTAGGTTCTACCAGAACGTCAACACCGCTTTGAGCGTGAGTCGTGATGTCAACACCCCAGTGGCTTCTACCACTATCTTCAGAATTTCAGAACCTTGGCGCTTCTTTGACGAAAGTTCGTATTTTGCAGCCTTTAGCTTACTCCTGCTCTTTCCTTCTGAGTGAGGACGTGTCATAATTTCGGACTGTAAACTCCCACGGTCGATGTTGTTCCCATGGAACTTTTCCTGAGTGCTGAAATGATATCATGCTGTCAGACTCCAGAGTTCAGAACTGGAAGCGATTCCTTTGTTG